GTAGTTTTAGGTCTCCCCGATTAGTAAAGTACTAGCTTGTGCTGAACTAGCTTATTATTATTACATCTTTAGCAGAGCCGATACTAAAAAATGTTAGTTATTCGGGAAGAGAATTCTAAAAAATTGAAATGACCTAAATTATCCCTAGTATGGTTGATTCGTTTTTTTTTCAATAAAATCTTTTGGCTCTTCCTGATAGATTTCTATGTCCAAAATTTCCGTGCAGAAAATGCTTTCGCTTGCAAAAAGCATTTCTGCCATCTTATGTCATCGTTCTTATTTGCGCAGGACTCGTTCGAGAACGAACTTCAACCTTACTACTCTTCCGCTCAGGAATTTTGTAACGCGCAGTACACGACTCACCACCAGCCACCCCACAGCGCTAGTTTTTTCTGGAAAAACCCTTCCACGCAGTTCTCCATGGTCGACATTTTAACGCTTTTTTCATTTGTTTTACTCGAAAAAGGGAAGATAACTCCAGATAATTCAAAACAATATTGGGGTTAGTAAAAATTTCGATGGATATCTTCCACAACTCCAAATTTGGGTTTATAAATTTAATAAGATCATTTGGATTGTTGTTTTTTCATTGGGCAAAACATTAATATACTACCACTCATGTATATAAAGTTTAATCAAATCCCATTTTATTGGTTTAATATTGTAGCTAGAGATTAAATTTACTTTTGTAAATATTGGTTTTTCTGTTATTAAAACTGAGCTCAATGTCATTTTTTTAAATATTAAAAAGGATTAATTGTTCATTTTCCTGATCAATTGAAATAGCATTTTGTTGAAGGGTTTGACACCCAATCCAGATTACGACGTTAATTTTTGTATAGGAAGAAATATCTGAGAACCGACGAGAGATACCCTTGAAGCGAAGGTCTGTGGATAGAATCCACAATCACAGCAGTCAGCATGTCTCTTTCTACCAATATGGTTATAGAGAAACGAAAGTGTTGAACATGTTTCCTGCATTGGTTTTTTTAATCATGAAGGCATTTGAAAACTGGTCAACAGAGATGTTCGATTATTCTTTATTGACGAAATATCCCAAAATTTATAGATATATGTATATATACATTAGTGGAGTCCAAATACTAAAATTGCCCATTACATATATATATCCGATATCAAACTTTTTCAAATAATGAAATTTGGTCCTCCAAAGTGAGAGAATGACAAGAAAAGACAAACGAACTAGTAAGAGTCCAATCAATATCGCTTTCCCGAGAAAGTATAATTTTCTATTTCGGGTATAACTTTAATTTAAAATCATGGCTTGTTTCATTTTTATTCGTCTGCTTTCACTACACTGTTACAAACAGTTGCTTTGCCATGCTTTGGCTTTAAGTAATTTTTTTAATACCTCGACAATGTCTAATTCTGCATGTATTTCCCGATCAGTCCCATCTAATTACGATGACTCTTTTCTACAGCAAAGTACTTTTTTGATCAAAACCTTGAATCTTGAACTTTGAAAGCTAAATAGATACGGGTCCAGAGCAGCGTTAACAGACGCGAGCAATAATGTGACAAGTATTGGAGTTCTGGATGTGAATCCATCTATTATATAATATAAATAAGAAGGAAACCAACACACGATGAATGTGACAACTACAGCAAGAACACACCAAGTGACTTTCTTTTTCTTCTTGTTGTCGGCGATATCTCGTTCTCCTGTAGGTTCGACTGTCTGCTTGCACCAGAGGGACATGCATATCTTGGTCAGGAGAAACACCATCAAAATTAAAAAACATACTGATTCTATCAGAATAAAGATAGAATGACCTGGAATGTTCATGTCGCAAGCAAAACTTTCTCTGCTGAAATGGGTAAAAACAAATGTCGGGGACGCAACAACAACAGCATATATCCAGGACACCATAACGAGCACTTTGACGATCTTCGGCGAGAAACGCTGACGGAAGTTGTGAGGACGACAAACAGCAAAGTATCGTTCAACTGATAAACAAACCATAGTGAAAATAGAAGCGCTGGACGCCATCCATGCGATGTTACAAAATAACAGCAGTTTACACAGCCACTCACCAAGAACTCCATCTGGCACGGAATGACGAAAGAAAGGTTGGATTATGAATTTAGGAGTAAGAAAAACACCACATAAAATATCTGCAACAGCTAAGTTTAACAGCAGATAGTTTGTGGAGGTTTTCATTCCTCGTCCATTGGTGATGATGTAAATAACGAGAGAATTTCCTGCTATATTGAAGACCAGAACTACAGAAAACAGGACAGCAAAAACGATTTCTTGGAATGTCATTGCTGACATCTTTACACTGAGCAGTGACCAAGCATCAGTTGATGCTACAGCTTTGTTCCACCTGTTAAGTAACCTCTGGCATAATAAAGCAAGTGCGTGTAAGATTCCATTTACTACGTTAATTAAATATAAACTTATTCATTCTTGTAAACATTTTGATTTCATTCTTTCGGCTGATATGAAACACGGTGTTGGAAGCTGTGACATTGAATAATATAGTTGGGTGTTCACTTCACCATATAGTTATTAATAAAAATAAACTTATTCATTCTTGTAAATATTTGGTTTTCATTTCTTAGGTTGCGATGAAACACAGTATTTGAAGCTGTGAATTTGAAGCATTGAATGATAGGCGATTGTTTAGTCCCAAACTAATAAGCGAACTAGTCATCTCACGCTATCAGTGGACCGACAGTTCATAAGATGTTTTGGGCCATGGCTACTGAAGTCTCTTTATTAATTTTTATAAGATTACTTTTATGTGTACACTCAGTCACAACTCATGATTAATAACATGAAAAGGATATTTTAGTATAAGGGTGAGTACGTAATATATTGAAAGTTTTTTGGTCATTTTTCACCATTGTGAATGTCCTCCTGTCCAGCTAAACGGTGAATCTCGTTTCAACTAGCCCAATTTTTGCGTATTTTTCTGTTTACTTTTGGCTAAATATAATATACGTAACGAAAAGAAGCAGAAATATGGAAAGGAAGAATAAAAACAAATTTACTTTACCGCCATGTTTGCTTCGTTCTTTCAAGTTCCAAAAGTGCTTAGGGCAGGTCATTTTGTTCACTCGTGCTTTTACGCTTAGCGTTCGGCACAATTCACTTCACTACATATATTGGGTTTTGTGCTGTTTGAGAATCTTTCGGCTCTCAGCTCCTAGTGAGGGTTATTGTGAATTTTGGCGGCCTAGTCCCTATCCCCACCAGTTTTATTTAGATCTTTTTTGTTGTTTGAAATAACATATTCCTTTGCTCTGATGATATTCTTCCCTGTGAAAATATACATGTCCCTCTAGTGTAAGTAGACAGTCGAACCTACAGTAGAACGAGAAGTCTTCGAGAGAAAGAAGAAAAAGAAAGTGACATTGTGTGTTCTTGCTGTGGTCATCACGTTTGCCGTCTGCTAGATTCCAGCAACCGATTCCTATATCATATATGGATTATCGAACGCGTATCGAAGCTGTCGATATTGCAACAATATTGCTTGCGTGCCCTTTACCCGTATCTATTCAGCTTTCAAAGTTCTAGATTTAAAGTTTTGGTCAAAAAGGTACTTTGCTGTAGAAAGGACTGAGTCATCGTAATTGGATGACACTGATCGGGAAATAAAAGCAGAATTAAGAGCGAATGTCTGTAAAAATCAAACAAAATCAGAAATATGTGGAAAGGCTCAAATTTTCGAATTCGCTCTACTTTTGGATTTTTGGAATTTGTCTTGCAAACAGGAATTTGTCTTGCAACAAGCTGGCTTCTTAAACAACAATCTAGTGCAGGAACTATTCACAGGAAACAAAATTATTTAATGAATTATATCAAAACGGAGCAGTATAGCATAGTAGTTCGCACAGGTGCCCCTAGCCGGCTCCATCATAATCTATTGAGAGAACCACTTTTAGAATTGCTCACAAAGGGCTTTTCATTGTTCATGTTTAAATGGCATAATAATGTATATCTCGACTCTTTTTCTTGCCAAGGATAATACATAAAATTCCAAGACCACTAGGGTATGGACAGAACTGGAAGAAACTACGGTACGCTCTTTTCTCGCGCCAACTGTGACTTTTCCGACAATATGCAAATGATTAGAGACACTAAACAACTTGCCAGTGAAGTTAGGAAACCTGGACTCTGTAGGAATCGAATTTAGTATACTGTTCTGTATATTTCTTATTGAAATCTGACTAGTTATTTGTAAAGAAACGCGAACTGTCGACTGGTACTGATAGATGGTATTTTCGGAAATCGGTTGCATAAAACAAGCCAACGCCACGGTTGCCAATTCTACTTTCTTGATAACTCCGATGAATGGAGCAACGGAAAAGACCTTTTCGTGTTGAAGGTTAGTATATTAATGTTTTCTTTTATTTGTACAGACTAGATTTGAAAAACAATGATGTTTCAAGGGAATTTATTTCGAGAAGTCTTTAGTCACGCAATTGCAAAACGATGATTTCTGCATATTTAATGAGTCAAAATAAAAGCTCTCGCAAAAAGCGCACAATTATTTCCCCAAAATAAAAAATACTTTTTGCAAAAGAGCAGTTTCCCAATAGTTGTTGACTGTAATCTCATAAGATTTGGAAGGATGGCACATACCGAAACTCGCAGTTTTCGAGATGCACTGACAAGCATTGTAACTCAGTGCCCTTTGCTTTTTATTGTGTTAAATGATTCAGGGTTGTTCGATTTTTATGAAACTACTCTTAATAAGCCTGA